ACGTCACAAAAACATTTTATTATTTCCCGTCACCAAATAAAACTCGGCCTTTAGGACGGCCTTGTCCTAGGCCGTGGCAGAAGTAAAACCCGGTGGGACAAACAAAAGGCCGTGCGATAAAAAACCCGGTCTTAGGCCCATCGGAGAGGTTTTTTATTTAAATTTTTTTACCCAATTTTACTTTATTTTATACGGCTATAATCTAAAAAATGTCTTTTTTAGGGGTTCTTAGAAAGTACAGCAAAAATAAATCTTAATTCTAAACTTTCTCAGCCTCTTATGTATACAAAATCTTTGCCGTGACTTTTCGAACCTGGTGGTTGCAGAAAGTGAAAAACCTTTAAGTGCGGTGTACCCTTCGTGCAGCGTCTCTCCCGTCTTGCCACTAAGTTACCGTTTCGTACAAATTTTCGAAATGATTAATCACCAAAGAGGAGTTTTTCTTCCCCCCCGTAATGTAGTGGAGCTGCTCCCGTCGACGTCGCCAGGTACTTATAAATAATTACCAGTTGTGAGCGTGTGGTCGGATCGTGTCGATCGATTGGCTTGTCGATCGGTTCGTGCCCGTCTCCGACCGTGGCAACCGTCGTTCGCCCAGTCCAAAAGTTGGCGGTCGGCCTTGTCCTCGGTCGGCGCAGTCGGTCCACCTGGTGGGTTGTCGTTTGCCACCCATGGGACCGGTAGGGTTGATCCGGCGGCCATTGTTTCGGCTCGTTCTCCGCTCGCCTTCGCGCTTATCGGAACCGGTGTCTGTGTGCGTAATTTTTCGTCTTTTTTTTTCTCTAATCTTCCTCGGTTAGGCCTGTACGAAGCACTAACACCTACAAAATTTGTTGATTTATGCCACTCCTTTTGTATGGAACAGGATTAATTTAATCCGCGCGGGCACGGTTAGAAACTTATCCGGGGGATTATCGATATAAAAAAAAAAAAAAATGTGCAAAATTGGACAAAACCTTAATTAAAACCGACCGACATATGACTTTCAGGGGTGGACACCACTACACCCGTAAAACGGGGATACAAAACACGTGCATGATCGGATTTTTTAAATATTTAATAGCAGTATTGTAAAAATATGGTACCTAACGAATTTAAACTTTAACTTCCGAACATTCAGGGTGTCGCAAAACGTTCAACTCGTAAAAAGTACAAACAAAAAAATGTCGTGCGAAAAAAGGACATATGGCAAAGGCCCTGCAACATTGCGCAAGGAGCAGTAGGACTACGAACCAAAGTATACATGAGAACCGCAAAGG